CTCCCCCCCACCCCACCCCCGGTAAAGAAGCCAAACAACAGTAACTGACCATTGTTTTGAGAATTCTGGTGGTTTTTCTTTTTCCCCCAGGTATCGATCTTAGAAAGGCGCAACATGGCAGGCAAGGTGGCATATAGGACCCTGGAGCATCCCTGGACCGGGAGCGAGAGGGACAAGTTCATCCTTCTGGGTTATCTTGACCAGCTGCTGAAAGACTCGGCTCTGCTGTCCTCGGAAGCCGTGCTCCCCGACCTGACCGATGAACTTGCCCCTGTGAGCACGTGGCCCGGGAGAGGGCACCGGGCAGGGCTGGTGGCGCCCAGGACTGAGCGAGGTTCAGCAGCGGCGCTGTGTGGGGGTGAGGACTCCTCCCTGGGCTCGGCTCAGGGCCTGGTCCTGACCGACGTCACTTTCTTACCAGATGTTCCTTCTCCGGTGGCTGTACTCTGCTTCCGACCACCTCTCGGACTGCTGGGACAGCCTCTTGCACAGCAGCTGGTAGGTCTGGCGCGGAATTGGGTTCCTTCTGCTCCGTGAGTGGCAGGGCCACTGCTTCTCCTTTAAAGGGAGCCTGTCCCTCCTTGAGGGTGTGTTCAGCATAGGCGGGCGGAAGAATGTCCACATGTGTTCAATACCGGTCCCCTTTTCCTTCTTTTCTTTTAATATCTGCTGATTGACTCGTTCCCACTGGCTGCCCTTGCAGACAACAGAGCCTGAGACTGTCCGCATCAGGGCACCACTGGGGCCCAGCCCAGGGCCTGGCACACAGAGTCCAGCGTATAGGTGTCCAAGCCAGTCATTGAATTAATCAGAGAAGGGGGTCTGTCCCCCTCCAACCCCAGTAAGACTGTGGGCTCCTAAAGGAAGGAGCACATCTCGTTCATGTTCTCGGTTGCTGTCACCCAGCCCAGCTCCCGAAAACTGGTAGGCAGGCCTTTGGCAAGTGTTCATGGGTGAATAAAAGTTTAGAACACCAGTCCTAGAGAAAATTAAAAGGTCAGCTTTCCCTCCCTACTCCACCCCCCTGAGCCACATCCGAATTATTGCAGCCAGGAAAAATAACCAAAATAAAGGAAATAACTCCAGACTCTAGTCACTGCCGGTTAGTTAGCCATTAGATGTGATGGCTTCCCGTCTAGTCACACCTCAGCTACCCTGACGTCAGAATGTCCTCCAGACTCACGACTTACTTTCCCCCCTTTCTATTGAACTTATTGGGGTGACACTGGTTAACAAAATTATATAGGTTTCAGGTGCACAATTCCACAGCGCATCATCTGTGCACTGGGTTGTGTTCAGCACCCCAAGTCAAGTCTCTGCCCATCACCACGTACACCCCCTATTCGTGCTCACAACCTAAACTGTTACCACCGCCTCACTGTCGCCTTCCGCAGGACATGCTAGCCCACCCTGTAGTGCTGAGGCACAGACCACATTCCTGCAGCGAGGGGAGCTCTGCTTGCCCCCCACCCCCAAAACCTCTGTGTGCATGGAACTGGAGTGTTTATTGACAGGCAAGCTTTTTGTTTTGGGGCTGTTTGGGGGTTTTGAGCCAGCGTGAGGAAACCTGAAATTGTTCCTTGGGGTGTCACAGCCGCCCGCTTGGAGTGGGCAGGCTGTAAGCTTCCGGCCGTTTCAGGCGGGAGATGATGCCCTTCCTGTCGCTGGTCTTCTCGGCGCTCTTCGTCCTGCTGGGCACTGTCATTGTGCAGGCCTTCAGGTGAGTCCTCCCTGCCTCCCGCTCCTGCAGGGTGGGCCCCCACCTCCTGGGGGTTTGGCCTCTGGTTGTGTAAAACTCCTTTTTTCTCACGTCAGTGACCCAAACGATGAGCGAGAGTCAAGCCCTCCGGACAAAGAAGAAACCCCGGAGAAGGCGGGGAAGGCGGAGCCCAGCTTTCCCCGGGAGAACAGCAGGTGTCTCTAAGCATTGCCGCCTTCAGTGCAGCCCCGCAGCCCCTGTCTGTAGTACTCCAGGTCTCCTCCTGCCACGGGGGTGGGGCAGGAAGTCACTGCCGATCCCTGTTCACGGAGACCCTCTCCACGCGCAGACGCTGGGCCCCCTTAGCTCAGTGTCATCAGTTCCTCAGTCTCAGGTTTAACAGTGAGGGGCAGGAAACCGAGAAGCATGTCAGAGAGGCTAGATGAGCAGGAAGCAGGGGATGGTGTCACCATCGCTGTGGACGGCCTTGACCCCGTCCCCGGTGGCTCTGCGCCGGCTGAGGCTCTGTGGGCCCGGGACTGCCAAGTAAGGACGCCCGCCTCCCAGTGCATCAGGCTCGAGATTATTCGGTAGCAAAGCTGGTCTGGTCAGGCAGCGTTTTCTCCCACTTGTCCTCTTACAGTACTGGCACCCCCCGCCCTGGTCACAGGTTCACTCCTCCATGTTTCTCCACAGCAGGGTCCCTAAGAAAGGCTTCGTGGAGGTAACGGAACTCACCGACGTCACCTACACCAGTAACCTGGTGCGCCTGCGGCCGGGCCACATGAACGTGGTCCTCATCCTGTCCAACTCCACCAAGACCAGCCTCCTGCAGAAGTTCGCTCTGGAGGTCTACACGTTCACCGGGTAAGTGCCTGTGTGAGACATGAGGGGGCAGCACGCACGTCTGGGTAAGGGGGCGACTGGCAGAGAATTAGGTCCTTTCCTTTCCTCTGACCATGAGGAGCTTCATCCATGCACCCGGTGTTGGCTGTGACCTTTCTAAGCCAGAAATCTAAGCCGACCCGAGGGGACCCTCTTTCCCCCTTGACTTCAAGTTCCCTCGGTTCTCCTTCCCTGAGCCCTTTCAGAAAACTGACTGTTCTCCAGCTCTTGTGTGTTTTCCTGAAGCTGGGCACTTGTGAGAGTGACGTTAGTGACACCAAGCAAGGGGTAGGAGTGGGCGAGTGTGGTGTGCAGCTCTTGTGGAGCCCTCGGCTCCCGCGGGAGTCCTGGTGTCCTGCACTCTGGCCCTACCTCACATGAAGCCTGTTCTATTTATTTTTTTAAATACATTTTTATTTATTTCAGAGAGAGAAAGGGAGAGGGGGAAAGAGAGAGAAACATCCATGATGAGAGTCATTGATCGGCTGCCTCCTGCAGGCCCCCTACTGGGGATCGAGCCCGCAGCCTGGGCGTGTGTCCTGATCAGGAACTGAACCAGTGACCTCCTGGTTCATGGGTCGACACTCAACCACTGAGCCACACGGGCCAGGCAGCCTGTTCTTATTTGAAGTCTGACTGAGGCAGCTCTGCTCCCTGCGGTTGAATGTCTGCTGTGCCCTCAGTCCTCACTCGCCCTCTACAGGAGCAGCTGCCTGCACTTCTCCTTCCTGAGTCTGGACAAGCACAGAGAGTGGCTCGAATACTTGTTAGAGTTTGCCCAGGACGCAGCCCCGATCCCGAACCAGTACGACAAGCACTTCCTGGAGCGCGACTACACGGGCTACGTGCTGGCTCTGAACGGCCACAAGAAGTACTTCTGCCTCTTCAGGCCCCACAAGGCAGCGGAGGAGGAGGACACCTTGGGGGTGCGTGGTGGCCTTGACTCTTCCCTGCACCCGGGGGACTCTCGAGGGAAGCCCGGCGGCCTGGGGCCCAGGCCCCTCAAGGGGAAGCTGAGCAAGCTGTCCTTGTGGATGGAGCGCCTGCTGGAGGGCTCCTTGCAGAGGTTTTACATCCCGTCCTGGCCCGAGCTAGACTGAGGACCACAAGAGACTTGAACTCAGACCTTTCACAGGCCCTGCGAACAGGTATTTTCAGGACCTAGACTGTCAGCAGACAGAGCATAGCTTTTAGATTATTCTAGAGCAGCGGCTAGAAGAATCTTCCCTTTGCCCTGCTCGGTCCTGTTCTAACCTAGGAGTGAAAACTCCACGAGTCGAATTCCCTAGATCCGAATATTTTCCTTTGGGGTTTGTTTTCCTCATCTGGATGCCGCACTATTTAAAACAGACTGCTCAGTCCCTCTTCCTTTCTGGTCCCATCACTTGGTCACGGTCCCTGCCCTGTCCTGCGTCTGTGCCGTGGGGGAAGCACAGGTGCTCACCCTGCAGCGGTACTGGGTGCGACCTCAGGAGCCGTGTGCTCACAGCCGCCCCGCCGCCCCCCGCCCGCCGTGCTCCCACACGGTGCATGCTGTAACGGTGGGCCAGCCCTCGGCAGCTTCCAGGCCCGCGTCCTGAAAGAGGCCTGGATCCAAGCACTCTTACACTGAGCGGTGTTTCTGGCAGTAAGCGGCTAAAGCATATTTTGGGGGCATCCCCCTACTGCAGTGTGTTAGCCATGGTTTTAAAGGGTGGGGCTGAGTGGGCTTCTGCATATGGTTTGGTTTTCTTCCCCAGGCAAGAGGAGGGAGGGCTGGGCAGTGGCTGAAGGGATCCCTCTGTGAGCGTCCCATCAGCCCATCAGCTGCCTCCCCAGCACGAACCGTGGCCAAGGGACCCATGCAGCAAGAAGTACTATAATGATGAGCCATTTACATGGATGTTTTCGATGCCTTCCTGCCTCTGCCGGGCTTAGGGTGGGGATGTTAGGAGCCATAACTAACCTCATTCTCTGGACGTAGAGATGAGCTGCTACACTATAAGCCTGTAGATGTTAAACCCATTGTCCCACCTGCCACAGTGGTGTCTCTAGTAAGATGCAGACACGTCTTTGTATCAAGGAACCTAACATCTCCCAGCAGCATTGTATTTTGAATCCAGAAGTGCTGTATCTTGAAGTCCTGTTTCTTGAAGTCCTGTTTGTGACAGTGAGCCGAGACTTGTTCTAGACCCGCTTTGCAAAAGGCTTCCTTTGAGCATCTGGCCCCTGTTTTGATGTCCCATCTTAATCATTTCTCGTGACTTACAGCTGCCTCACCAGGAGCAGGGTCAGTCCTGTCGTCCGCTTGCTGAGCCCCAGGGTGAGCTGGACGCCAGGCTGGCTCATTCCCGCCAGGCAGAGGGCTTACTGTCCTCTAGGGCAAAACTATCAGTGGGGTTTGGGCAGCCTCAGGAGCGGTCTGTTCCAGTATCAACGCAAATTGCCCGTTGAAGGCCGTTTGCAAAGGGAAAGGTCAAATCAGTGATGGGAGAAAATAGTATTTTCTTTAATCACAATGCTTCAAACTAAGCCATTTGGATCCTGAGTAACTTAAATACTGAGCTACAGCGACAAGGAGTGAACTGTTTGAGCTCAGGAATTTCTGTAGTTTCCTTGGAATCTGTAGCTTTATGGCAAAAGTGATCACTGCCCCGCTTCTCTCTCCACATGGTCCCCGAAAGGATGCTGGCTCTGCCGGCCGCCACGCACGCACCCTGCCAGGGAGGGGCAGCCCAGGACTCGTTTGGCTTTGATGTGCCTGTCCTCACAATTACTCCTGGGGCTTCTATGGCCAGGCTGCTTGGATGAATATGTTTAGGTTTCATGGTAGGTTTTTATTTTTAATTTCTGGTACTAAATGGGATTCTTGACCATAATTTCTGAAAACCAAAACCTCCCCAGATTTGTTCATTTTTAAAAAAATTTTACCACTAAAATAAAAAGCACCTTCAGACAGCTGCATCTTCCATCTGCACTAAGGAAGGAAGGTGATAATAGGATTGGAAACACGCCTGGCAAATACTTCAGTCTAAAAACCCTCTACAGGTCTCACTGGGGCAGATGTGTCTGCCAGGAGGACACTCGGGATCTCGTTTTAAAATGAGCTTCACCCCTGGCCACCCAGGCCTTTCCTGCCGAATGCTGTTTCCATTCATTTCCTTTTGTGTCAAATGTATGAGCCACTGTCCTGCTCAGCCAATGCCACCGTGTCTCTTCCCAATGTATGTAACCACACAGACCCAGTTTCGGTTTAACCTCCTAGTCTTTGAACATGTATCTTCAAAAGATGACATTGATGATGTCAGAAGTAGGTTTTTCTGGTCGCCAGAGACTATGCATCATGTTTAGCAGATGGGATAAAAACCAGTCTTAAAAGCCTTTGTAGAATCCACGCCAGTTTAAAAAATATTTTTTTATTGCCAAGGTGTTGGGGGCACGATTTGTCTAACACAGAGGTGGGCAGCCCCAGCAGGGCCGTTTCAGGGGCGGACTGCCCTGGCGTCCACGGGGCCCCGTCTCGCTGCCGTCACTCACTGACCACGGAGACTTAGTTGTGGTTTTCGCGAAGTAGGTTGATTTCCTCCCGGTCAGTACGCAAATGTTTTCCCTGATTTAAACAGAAAGGGGATCTGAATGTGTTTGACGTAATTGGCTTTGTTTGGGAAATGGGCTTAGAAGTGAACATTCAGAACTTTGTTTTAAAGGAAAATCCTTTACAAGCCAATGCAAAACAGTTTACCAAGTGAAACGTTGCTCTCATCCAAATACCTGCCAGCCCTCGCAGGCAGATGCAGTGCGGCAACTGCCGACTCTGTTGGGTTTGTCAAGGGGAATAATTATACTTTCGAGACAGATCTGAAGAGAAAGTGAATATTTTGCACTTTTGATACTCTTAGGAACAAATAACTTATTTGGCAAACGGTGTCTTTTTTATGTTGTTTTTGTTTTGTATTGTGAATAGGCACTAAAGCGGATGTTATTTTTGTTTTGAGAACATTACCGACTGGAAACAGAAATAAACTATTTTAACGTGTGATGATTACGGGTAGCTCCTGCGTTACGGGTGGTGACTTGACCCTGGACATGTTATCAGCAGAACTGAGTCTGCACGTAACTCAGCACTTGCTTAAGATCAGCACGCGGTACCTGCAGATTTTGAGAACTGCTGTCCTAGAGGGTGTGTCAGCCAGGGGAGCAGATCATACAGCGTTGAGAGGGCTGTAAGGAGGCCAGCCGGTGTCATCTGGGCTAGAAGACAGTTCGTGCACCCTCCTGGGCCTTTGGGTGGGAAGTTTATTAGGACCTGCCAGTTACTCTCAGATTCTTGTTCCCAATGGTCCTAAAACCAAGAAGCAGCCCCCAAGCTTCTTGGGGGAGGAGCAATATTTTAAAAATACGGTAGGAATGCGGAAGGTTCGTACAGTGTTACTTCACAGTCTCTTTATTTCATTCCTCCAATTTTTAGATAACCAAATTCTCCATCCCCGCCCCCATCTTTCATTGAAGGAAAGAGTCCCAGCGTAAGTGCTTGTTTTTTTAAGTTAATTCAAACCCCTCAGAAACGTGAGGTGTTTGGGTTAGAGTTCTGCTTCATGCCCTGATTTTGCAGCCACCAGACACTTCTGCAGACAGTTTTATTGCCGTAAACTCCTCAGGACTGACTGCTTGCTCACAGTGCTTGAGAATGTGTCCTGGGTGCCACCTGCTGTTTCTCGTTGAAGGGCACCAGGTTCAGACAACTCTCACTTTGGGGAGGGCACAGAGCATCTCGAACAGCAGGTTGGCCGCCAGGAGGGCCGTGTTCCCTGCAAAGGAGTGGCAGGCACCCAGCGTGAAGGCCGCGCCTCCCCAGGCCGCACCTCCCAGGGCTGCTCAGCCTCCTGCCCTTTCTTTGCCTTCCTTTCCGGGGTCCTGCCTTCCATACTCTACCCGAGACTGCCGACCACCCCACGGACATGCCTTCCCTGGCAGTCTGCTCCATCAGTCGTTTGGAAATAGTATTTTAACATGCTGAGGTTCTTTGTTTACTCTGAGAGCCAGATTTCCCCCAAAAGAAAACCTATAATAATGGTGTGTATTGTGTTACTATCTACCCTCTGAGGCTGACAGGCCTAACTCTGGAAGGTTTTCTAAATTAAAATTATTGGGATGGCATCTGCTTTGAGCATCTCTCCTAAGCCAGCTAACTCCCCCACTATATTAATATTAATAACTACATCCTTTGGGAATTCACTTTTCTATGAAATATCGGGAGGGTGGCAGTGTGTCACCCTGTCACTAAACTGCAAGCTGGTTTCCCTCTTTTGCTGACTGGTGGGGATGCTAATAATACTTAGTGGCCTCCTGGGGGGTTCGTTAGGGATCATTAGCCGTGTCTGTAAGATGTGCAGTAATCAGGTTATTTTCTTCACTGTAAGGCCATACTCAGCAGGTTCCCAGGTTACACAGAAGGGCCCGTCTGTCTGCTACCTATTAACTAGATTAATACAATTTAAACCAGCAGCTGCCTGCACAGCCCAGATTTCTTGATGACTCACCAAAAGGGTCGTAAGGCGGTGACACTTCCACCAGGTCACAGCCCACCACGTTCAGGCCTTGACAGCCCCGGATGATCTCCAGAGCCTGTCCACGCCCAAGCCAGAGTGGAAGTCATTTACGACGGGAAACCACCAGAGGAGGCCTCCCCACACCTGCGCCGAGCACACCCTTATGGGAAGTTATTTGGGTATTTCTAAAATTCTCAAACTACCTTGGTAGCTGGTTGTGCACACTTTTAAAATTTAACCCCTAAAAGGTAAGTTTGGTGGTCCTTAAGAGGGGCACCACACCGTCGGCCCCGCGCTCCAGCGGGGTGTGGACCCTCGGCAGAAACGTCAAACGAAGGAGCGTGATATCCCAGGTAAGAAATGGGCCCCTGGCTAACGCCCGTCCTCAGTGAGTCAGGATTCAGACCCAGCGCGGCCCTGAGGACAGTCAAGGCGCACGTGCCCCGCTTTTAAAATCTGTCCCGGCTCCCGAAGCCTCACCGCAGGGCCCTGGAGAGCAGGGAACTAAAACTCCCCACGCCCGGGAATGGTCCCTGGTGGAGCCTCCGTACCTGACTAGGGGTGAGACCAGCGATTTCAGGTGTCCCTGTGCCCGGGGCGTAGGCAGGATCCAGGCCGTCGATGTCGAAGCTGATGTACATGGGTTTGCCGCCCACCTGCTGCCTCACCTCGGCCATCAGGGGGACCAGCGACTTCATCCAGCAGTCCTCCGCCAGCACCACGCGGAAGCCCTGCGGGCGCGAGGGAGCGGCCGAGGCCCGGGCTCTGCGGGGCGGCCCTCCCGGCAGTCCCTCCGTGCCAACCCCAACCCCCGCTAAGCTCTGCGTGCCCGTGACACTGGGCCCTCGGCCTCCGCTGCGCAGGTGAGGAGGGGGGCAGGGAAGGCAGGGATCAGAGGAGTCTGAGTCGAGCAAGAACGAGACCCCAGGACAGCGCCACCCAGAAGACTGGCCTTTGCCCGGGGACTGGGGCCTTTCCTGCTGGGTCTTGTATGTGTTCACCTGGGGGCCACTCTGCCCGGCGGGTATGAAGGTGAAAACTAAAGCGGCCCCTCGCCTTGGGTTCAGGGCCCCCCAGCTCTTTTCCAAGCCAGCAACATCCCCAGGGGCGGTTCGCGTCTGCTGTCTCCCCACCCAAGCAAGAAGAGGCCGCCTCTGCCTTACGGACTGACACCCTGGCTCCTCGCTGCTCCACGTGACCCTCTGGGTGCAAACTCAGCCTTTCCTCCCACTTTCTGAACTTGATTAGCCCCTGCGGGACCCACAGCGCCATTGCGTAAGCAGTGGAGAGGAAGGCGGGGAACGGGGGCGTTCGGCCTGTCACCTGGCTCCGGCTGTATCTGCAGGGATCCAAGGTCATGGAAGAGCCCCTGATGCCAATCTGCACCACACGCTTACAGTCCAGAAGCCCCTCGTCCACGCACCGGCGGAAGGGCGCCCCGTGGTAGAGCTTCTCTCCCAGGGCCTTGTCGGCGGTATCCATGTGGGCATCCACGTGCACCAGCCCCACGGGGCCATGCCTGGGGACAGCGGGGCAGCTCAGAGGCCAGGCCTCCCTGCGGGGACTGAGCACAGCCGCCCTCCAGGCCACCAAAACTCAGGGAGGGGAGACCTGGCATCCCTTACGGGCCTTGCAACTGGTTTCTGTCTCCAAATGACTTAGCATCTCAGAGCCATCAACTTGGAGAAGTCAGGCCGAAAATAGACGCGTGCTCCAGCCGGCCGCTGCCCACTGCCTCTCGCCCAGACGGAGAGAGCTGGGTGGGTGACAGTGAGGGGCGAGCTCGGCTGAGCTCATCAGAGCCGCCCCTTCTCCAGCTGCAGCACCGAGAAGCAGGCTGGACCCGGCTCGCTCGCCACGCTCCATCAGCCCTGCCAGCCACCCAAGGAAACAGAATCCAAAACCGCGCCAGGCAAACACAGCCTCGGGAAGACGCTGTACCCACCCACCCCCAAACCAGAATTCTACCCACGTCTTTCCCACCTATGAGTTCTGGGGCGGCCACCGCCTCGGCCCATCTGCCTCTTTCTCAAACTAACTTTCACCAAAGTTAGACAACCCCTGATGGGCTTCCGCTCCTGGGGAAGCCAGTTCCTCCCAGCTTCTCTGGGCAGGGGACCCTCCTCAGCAAGCAGCACCATTGAGCCCGGCAGGGTTTGGGTTGGGCCTTCGAGCAAAAGTTAACTGGGGTTGTGGGCTTATCTTCCCCAAACAGGCAAACGCTGAGCCAGCATCCAGGGCAGATCTAGGGCAAGGGAGGGTGGCAGAAGCGTTAATTATAGTCCTGACTTCTAGCTGGTGACTGACAGAGGCACCTGGAGCCCGACCTTAATTTTGATCCACAGAAGCCACTCAGCCGGGAAGGTGCTCTCGCCCCCAACACCCTGAGCCAGCAGAGGTCACCCAATGCCGTCCAGCCGCAAACAGCTCGTCCCCCAGCTCCCGAGCTGTGAAACCGTGCTTGGGCCCAGGCGCTTGGCACTTACTTTTTTGCCACGGCTTGCAATATAGGGTATGTGATTGTGTGATCTCCACCTGCCAAGAGGAAAAGGAAGGAGCCGTCGGGAAGGTGGATGAGACTAGAGGACTGTGTATTACACAGAACCGGCTTCCACCTTTGCTATTAGCCCGAGGAACTACAGCCCAGCTAAAATAAGATTGTGTTCAGTGGGGAAAGGGACTCTGGGTGTTTGATTACACTGTCGTTTAAAACAAGAAACTAAACAAATTGTGGCTCACAAGTAAACTGCCCACAACAGCCCTGTCCCATGGAACTTTCTGCGCTCATGGATGTGGTCTGTAAATGCGCCGGCCAGCATGGCGGCCACCAATCACACGTGGCTATTAAAAGGGGGCTCATACAGCTGAGGGACTGAATTTTTTTTATTTTATTTAAAGCAATAATTAATTTAATTTTTATTTAAATAGCTACATGCAGCTACTGGCTACTGTATTGGACAGTCCAGGCCTAAAAAAGTACTACTATGGATACCTATTAATAATAATCACTAACACTCATTGAGGCTCAAAATATGCCCAGCACAGTGCTGGGCCTTTTGTATGCACTTTCATTATATGTCCCTCACACAACAGAATGTGGTAGGTGGTGTTATTTCCATTTTACAGATGAGGAAACGGGGCAGAAGTAGCTCGTGGGCGGTGGGGCTGAGATTTCGAACCAGGCCATCCAGAAACCCCTGTGCTCTGCGGGCCAGGCTCTCTGATTCGGCAGAAATTAATTTGCTCTTTAGAAAAAAGTCTGTGCCACTTTAACTGCTGGTGAACCAGAAGGGAAGGAAATGCTACGGTGAGAGTGGGCGAGGTGGGCGGGGGGAGGAAACCTAAAAAAGTGCAGTGCTCTCTAAGTCAGTTCTCTCTAAGTCGTTAACACAGTGTCCTCAAAATAGTCCAAAAATCACACTGAGCCCCTGTTGGCAGCCTTCCCGGGGCCTGGGATCCAGGGCTGGGACAAAGGTGAAGCGGGGAGGTGAGTGATGCAAAATTTAAGGGATGCCAAGAGCTCAGTAATCAAGATAAATACTCTTGTTATTTTAATAACAAGAGGACCTGAGGATATTTTTTCCATTACTTTGGGGGGGATAGAGAGAGAGAGAGAGAGAAACATCGATGTGAGAGAGACACAGCGATTGGTGGCCTCCCACACGTGCCCGACTGCAGCTGGGGACCAAGCCTGCAGCCAAGGTCCGCGTGCCCTTGGCCAGAATCAAACCCGGGACCCTTCAGTCCACGGGCTCACGCTCTAACCACTGAGCCAAACTGGCCAGGAGCGAGATAAATAGTCTTTAAAGGTAAAATTTTAAAAAATTAAAATTTCATGCCAAAAAATCCATGATGGCTGTGGTTTCCCTCTGGGGCACGCCCACGCCTTCCTCCCCTCAGGCCCGCATCTCCCGAACTCTGAGCCACCCGGGAGACTTGCAGCCAGGGGAGCGACCGGCAGCGGAAGCTCATCCCAGGCTAACCCGGACCCGTCCCCAGGCCCCCTTTTCCCTGACTTCCCAGTGAGCCAAAGCAGCCCGCGTAGGCTCTCCTGCTGCTCCTTCCATCCTAAGCCCAGCCTTGTTTCCCCCAGAGCTTTAATAAACATACTCTCGAAATAAAAGTTTAAAAGCCACGATAAGTTTTAAAGAAAAGATGGGACCAGTACCTGGGCTGTTCTGGGCGACAGGGGAGCCTGAGGCAAAGGGGGGGAAACGGTAATAAAATTGCACAGCCCTTTTCAGCACCCCTTAAATTTTGCACAGAGGGGAATGCCTCACTTGCCTCGCCCGAGTCTAACCCTGTCCATCCTACTAGTCCAACGATTTAAATAGCCTCTCCCCGGGGGTTAAACGACAGGAGTGACGGCCTCTATGCCACCGCGTCCATGTTCACAGCGGGCCCTGAGCACAGCGACCGCGCCCGCCCTGCAGATGCCATACCCAAGGTCAGAGGCACGCAGCCGGCGGCCACGATTTTCTGATAGGCCTCCTGGATTAGGCGGCAGCTGTCCTGAAGGTTGTAAAGATTGACGTTCACGTCGCCCAGGTCTGCGACCGTGAGGGACTGGAAGGGGAGGGCCCCCGTGCTGGGGTTGATCGTCCGAAGCATCACGGATTCCTCTCGGATCCGTCGGGGTCCAAATCTGGAAGAAGAGGGGCTGACCTGTGTTCATCCCTAAAGGCGGAGGGGCCCCACCTCGGTAGGGGCTCCTTGGCCTCTGCCCTGGTGACGTCTGGGGCTGGATGTCATGGGGGGACCGTCTTGTCTTGTACCTTGTAGGATGTTTAGCAGCATCCCTGGTTTGTCCCCACTAGATGCCAGTAGCAGCCTCCCCCCAAGTTGTGACAACCAAAAAAACCCCCAAAAAACCGCCTGCAGACACTGCCGAACGTCCCCTGGGGGCAGAATAACCCTGGTTGAGAAGCACTGTTCAGGGGAACATTGCAGATTAAAGGCACAGATTTACTAAATGTGCCCCCAGCGTCCATCCCAGCAAGGCCGGGGGGTCAGGGCACCGCGAGGCTCCGGTGGGGACCCCCCCTTTACGCATGGATGCCACCCGGGGCGCGTGGGGGCCAGGCGCCAGCCTCCACCCTGACCCCGGGTGGCCGGTGCCCTCAGGCTGTCCAGCCACGTGTCCCCAGTCCTCCGGCCTTACCTCGCCCCCGGCCGGTTGGAGGTCCCGATGTCCAGGGGCACCCCGACGAAGGCGGCGTCCAGCCCCTCGGGGGAGGTCTGCACCGGCAGCCGCATCATGGAGCAGACGCCCACCGGCCGCGCCACGAGCTCCGAGCTGGGCGGCTGGTTCC